AGGGTTTAGGGTTTAGGGTGCACTACAAGAGAACCTTTCATACCGCCTTACCGGTATGCTGGAGCATAACGATAGAAAGACTACCAGGGATACTACCACAAAATACCCTTCTGCAAAACCTTAGAACTCTTATACGGGGCTACTCACACCAACTATTTCGTAAGGAACCCTTCTAGAACCGTTCTAAACGGCTGCTATTCACAAGTGTGCGTTCAGACCACTTCATAAACCCTAAACCCTAAACCCACAACCTGAACTGATATTGAATGCTGAACTCCCGCCAAGCCGCCACCCGGCTGCGCCAAAACCTGGAAGTTGCCTTCCACCAGGAAGACGACCTGTGATGCTTTTTAGGGTTTAGGGTTTAGGGGTTAGGTTAAACCCAAACCGTAAATCAGGGTCCCCTTCAGGATCCAAAAAGGGACCGTACTTAGTTCAGAGAGAAGTACACATCGGGAGTTGCGGTTGAGGGCCCTGTCCAACCTAAACCCTCAAGCCGCGAAACTCCAAAGCCCTAAGCCCTAAACCCTTAACCCCTAAACCCCTAAACCCCTAAACCCAAAGGGCCCTAACCCTAAACCCTAAACCCTAAACCCTAAACCCTAAACCCTAAACCCTAAACCCTAAACCCTTAACCCCTAAACCCCTAAACCCCTAAACCCAAAGGGCCCTAAAGCCTTACACCCTGAGCCCCAGTGAGAACCACGAAAACCTCCGCTCTTGCCGCAGCCTCATTGACAGGATCCCCGAGTTGACAGACCTGAGAAAGGGAGCTCTGCACCCAGATTTACATAACTTACCTTTAGGGTTTAGGGTTTAGGGTTTAGGGTTTAGGGTTTTGGGTTTTGGGTTTAGGGTTTAGGGTTTAGGGGGGAATGGAGGAATGGGGTACAATTATAACTACTATTACTACCATTCTTCCATTCCCTACTAGCCAAAGGTAAGATAAGGGTTGTATAAGGCTGCTTTCAGGGAATCTTAAGGGTGCTGCAAGAGCTTATAAAAGTGCTGCACGAGTTTTGATATGTGCTTCTTTACGGGTGTGGCATGGGTTATATGAGGGAGTAGGGATCCTTATAACTCCCCCTTAATTTCACGACAAGACAAAGTTTTGTAAGGGCTAGTCTCTACAGGGGTCTTATAATTAAGAATACTTCCTTATGACCTCTGTTATTGTAAGATAATATAGCCCCCAAACCCTGGACCCGGGTTTAGGGATGCGGGGATTTTCAAGTACAATATAAACATATATATATATATATGTAGATCTATAATATTATCCTACAACAGTATATAAAAAAAGACTATCTAATCGAACATATATACTTACATATACATATCTTACATGCTTTCAAATATGGTAGAATAAGAAAGTTATGCTGTTTCAAACTTGAACCCTGCAAGCCTGCACAGTTCGGCCGCAGGTATCTCTAGCTTGTGATCCTTAAGGGTTTAGGGCTTAGGGTTTAGAGTTGAGGGTTTAGGGCTTAGGGTTTTGAGCTTTTCCGCTCAGGCCTTAGTGATTGGACAATGGCATATATGAAGTAGCCCGAAGGACCACCCCTATCGAAGCCTTACAGCCCTCATAACAAAGGAACCTTAAACCCGAACCCCTGATAGGAGCCCTTGTAGGAGCCCTTATGGAAACCTTTATCACCCTTAAAACAAAGGAACCTTGCAGAAACCTTATCGAACTAACAAGGAACTCCCAAAATAGTATACGTAAGTGTAAACCCTAAGCCCTAAACCCTAAACCTTAAACCCCTAACCCCTAAACCCTAAAGCCCTAAAGCCCTAAAGACCAAAGAAAGGCTTCTTGCGCAGGTGAGCGGCTCTCTGGGCTTTTTCCACCTGCCAGACAATCCGAACTCGGATCGGGGTCTGGGGGTTTAGGGTTTAGGGTTTAGGGTTTAGGATTTAGGGTTTAGGGTCGTTTGGGGATTAGGGTTTAGGGTAAAGCTTGTAGGGGGTTGGAGGTTGGGGTGTTTGCACGGTTGCAGGGCTGGCGGTTTAGTGGCTTCGGGACTATTGCTGAAGCGTTCAACGGTCCTGGAGCCATCTAGACTCTAAACCCTAAACCCCCTAAACCCCCCTAAACTCTAAACCCTAAACCCTAGACAACATAAGCCGTAGACCCTCAGGCTATTGTACAAAGTCACACGAGTGTCACGGGACTAGGGGAACTGCGAGTTGTTCCCTGAGCCCTGAATCCTACAGCCCTACGCCTGAACGGTTTAGGGGTTTAGGGTTGAGCAAGATCTTGTCCATCGGCGCTCCCCCACCTGTCCGAGCACCCATGTAGCAGTTTAGGGTTTGTAGGGTCTAGAGACTCTGAACCCCACATCACCAATGCAGGAGGTGCATCCCAGCCCAACTCCTCGATCCGTAAGCTTACAGCCCTCCCTGCACACCATAGGCATCCGAAACCTGAACTTACTAAAACCCCCTAAACATCCCTAAACCCTAAATCCCTAAACCATAAGCCTGAAACTCAAAGACTTCCAACCCAACATATGGAAGGCTTACCGCACCCCCACTTCTCGCACGTCATCCTCCTCTAAAAAACGCCAGCCCCCCAAACCCTAAACCCTAAAGCCCTAAACCCCTAAACCCCCAAACCCCTAAACCCCTAAACCCTAAACCCTAAACCCTAAACCCCAAAAACCAAAAACCCTAAACCCTAAACCCAA